GCGGGGTTTCTAGATTAAATAAACTAGCAATGTTGTTAGATTTTTGCCAAATTTCCCTTCATGGAGTCAAATCATTCTGCATTTAAAACAGCAATGTATGAAAATAACCTTCCTCATAACCTCACCAAGATTTGTCAAGTTTTTGGGTTTCCCATCCCCCAAAGAAGGAACTGCAGTTTTCATTCACATTTCTCTTGTGTGTGAAGTTTAAGGCTCACCGGTCCATCCATCTTTGTTACTTTATTTACTTCTTTCCCTTTAGTCAGCCTAGTTTACTCCCGAGGCAATAATGCTTTTTTTGTTCAAGTCACCACTGGTTTTCCCTAAATTACTGCCCGGACTCACAGCTGGTCTTTTGCATACATCATAGTGCATTCACACACAGCCACTAACCTGGTCCTTTTCACAAAGAACTTGTTTCGCTGTGTATAATTCTCCAGTGGTTTCCCAACACAACCCAAGTTCACATTGTTGTCAAGGCCAACTTAGCATACAAAGGCCTAATCCACCATCTTTCTTTAGGCATCCCCTTTTCTCTACTGTGTCTCTTCCTTTCTGTCATTTACAGACACCAAGTTTGGTCCCATATAAAAAGCTCTCAAAGGATCTGTCCACAGGGAAGTCTCCCCTCACCCTTTATTGTTTCCTTTCCCTTTTAGGAAAGTTCACACATTACTTACAGACAACAGTCACCTTTCATCACCTCAGTGTAAAACTGTCCCTTTCCCAATAACTGCTCTCTGATTTTCTTCCTACCAGCTCATTACATTCTTGATGACTCACTACTGTCTATTCCCACCTGTCTCTGGAACAGAAGGATCAGAGTTAGGAGGGACTTCCTTTTCTATCACTGCCTCTATCTGGAGTACTGCCTAGCCATTCAAGGTGCTCAATAAACACGTTTCAGGGTACTCAAATCAGTAGGGCACCTTTCAGCTTTCTCCTATTTCTGACTTCTTGGTTTGTCATCTGAGATCAGACCTCTTAGAGCAGCAGCTATTCAGAAATAAAGAGATGAGATAGTTTACTAAGAACCATAAATCTAATCAGGAAGTTAAATGACAAGTAAAAAAGTCAGTGTTACCGTCAAACTGGCTGGCATAAGAACTAAATGCCTTTAACACCAATGACACATCATAAGGCACTAAATTGTAAGACTATACCACCTGAATTCTATCCAGAGGTAGAACATACAAATCATCAAAATCTGTTTTTATCTTATGAGAGTAGGCATAATTTCACTATGAAAGATGTCTAACCATATGAGACAGGAGTATCTGATACTCAGCTATTCAATGGTATACTAAGAAGTTAAGAAAAAGCAAACCATAGGGCACTGTGCACTGTCTTCCTGGAGCATGCTCTGGGGATGAAGCACTGTTCCGGGGATAGGAAGCACCACACACAATCTCATCTTTATACAGGGAAATGTTGTATTTACAGGCATATGAAAGGTTCAAGAAGATGCAACACCAAAATATTAATAAAAATGGCTTATCTGTGTTTTCTATAGCTCTTAACAACATATTAAAAGAATGGTTAATAGCTACTAGAAAGGGGAAAAGAGGTTCTGAGGTTCTCCCACATCATATTTGCCAGTTCTCTCCAAGGGACAGCGTGACTTGAGAGAGCACTTTTTTTTGTTGTTGTTTGTCGAGACAGGGTTTCTCTGTATAGCTTTGGAGACTGTCCTGGAACTCACTCTGTAGACCAGGCTGGCTCACCTGCCTCTGCCTCCCGAGTGCTGGGATTAAAGGCATGTGCCACCACCGCCCGACTGAGAGAGCACTTTTTTAAAAAAATGTTTTCTTTATTTATTATCTGTACAGTGTTCTGTCTACATATACACCTGCAGGCCAGAAAAGGGCATTACAGATGGTTGTGAGCCATTAAGTGGTTGTGGGAATTGAACTCAGGACCTCTAGAAGAGCAGTCAGTGATCTTAACCTCTGAGCCATCTCTCCAGCCTGAGCACTTTTGACCAGTGCAATAAGCATAGTTCCTAAAGTCAGAACATGAAAGTTGCATGAAAGGCTGAGAAAAAAGAAGCCCCAGTACCTTACTTTGTGTTACTGATGTTACCATCAGTTATCAGACATGACATTAGAGCCAATGGATTAGGAAATACTAATCTACGTACTTTGGAAGTTTTAGAAGTTTCAAAAGAGAATAAAGCAGATCATTTATTCATGATTTTATCTAAGAAATCAAAACAATTCAATTCTTCTCTATAAATAAAAGCTACTTTTTAAGCTATTTCTCAGTTTCCAAGGAAACTGGTATAAAATTTTCTGAAATACAGAAATTAAAAGCAAACTTTCAATATGTTTATATATATTTGGTATTTTCAGGATCAAGCCAAGGGGTCTGTACTTGTTGGGCAAGTACATATTATACCATAAAGTAGTCCTCCAGACCTAAAAATGTTTAGAAGAAACACTGAAATTTTAATGGGAATATTAATAAACTCAAATTCTATGCTCACATTTTTTTTTCAAAATTTCTGACTTAGCATTCCCTATCATATAGGTCTATGCTCACACACCTCTCACCAGTCATTCTTAATGTCAGCATCCTCAGCTTCAACCCATGATTACCAGAACATCCCATTTACATAACCAGTGAATTCAGGACACATCCTTACCCCTCCCTTTACTCATTCTCACTGAAAAGAACACTTATGAGATCTCCAGCAAATGCTGGCTTTCCATCAGTTACTTGTATTATAACTAAGACAGGAAAGGACTAAGAACCGAGCTCTACTATACAGATTAAAATAGAGTATCCATTCTCAAGAGTCCAACCTAGCACATCCGCCACACCTCCACCCTATTCTTGAGCACTGCAGCTTCAGTCATATCTTAACTCTGCGTCCTCATCAGCAGTACTGAGAATGCAGACAGACTTCCTTTGTATTGCGAAGGGACAAATGAGCATACATGAAATTGTGTTGTAATCCCTCAAGAATTATCAAAAGGTTCTATTTGGATTCTTATCCAACACTACCCACATTCTAACTGGTTTGTAAACCCAGAAGCTTCCCTTAAAACAGAACAGTTTTCATAAACACACACACACACACACACAGAGTCATGCAAGTAGTACATTGTTTAAAGATACAATTATTTTTGCATTCTTTTATAATATTTAAATATTACAAAAAGTTACACAAGTTTATCGATCATGGCCCTAAAGTTTATTTTAACATGAAGACACCAAAGGTCCAGCTAAAGTTTAAAGAAGGTTATAAGAGATTCCTCTAAAGAAAGGAAATCATTTGTAGCATTTAAGTGAAACAAACAAGCCAATCTGGCTTAAACACTTGATGATACTTTGTCTTAATGTCTATAGCCTTCAAGAATCATCTTGTTATCCTGTATTACTTCTCTCTAGACTCATAGGTTTTCAAGCTTTTAATTATAAAGCTTCAAGCACTTCCGCTTCTTCCTCCTATCTACCCAGCCCACCCTCCAGCGGTTCAGGATGCTGAACTTGTCTTTTACTTCAACGTGCTCAGCACTGAATAAAATTCTCCAGGCAAGGAGGTAGAGAGGAAAAGGGGCCATGGGAATAAACAGTACAAGAACCTGAGTGCTTCACCCTCACTCCCAAACCTTTACATTACCAATTTAAGGCTCAATTTTAGCTTTTGACTCCTTTGAAACGTCTGACCAACAATCTCTCCCTACCCCTCTTCCTTTGGAAGAGGTAAAGTAAATGAAACTTTTAAAGTGGCGATGTATTTATCAAAACGAGCCTTTAAGGGTAAACTTGAGTATGTGTGTGTGTGTGGGGGGGGAATAGGAACGGACGGGACTTAAACGTAGCCCTGGAAGAAAACATAGGCATCTTTCACAAAAGCCCCTTTCCCAATCTCCTTTCTTTCTGTGCTCCTATTAAAACAGCCTATATTGAAGATACTTTTAATATCCTATTAAAATCAAACACATTTCTGCGGCAACCTCTACTTCAACGTAAGTAAGAAATCCTCAAATAGGCTGAGTCCGGACTGCTTTAATATCAGTTATCTAACTAGTTCCACAGAAGAAGAACCATTAGGTTCTTACCTTAGGTACCATGTGGCTAAATAAGGACAGGGAGATAGGATGACTACTCCGAGGTCAGGGTCCTAGAAGTTTTATTAAGAAAAGGGGCACTTACGTACAGACACATGAAGTCTTGATAAAGTCCCGCTGGACAGTGCCCAGTATTACAAAGAGGAAGTGGAGGGGGCTGCAGGGTCCCAGGTCGGGATGAGAACAAGAACTGGGC